CAGAGCGTGGGCGTGGGCGTCTTTCTGGCCGCCTTCATCCTCCTGGCTGTGGCGGGCAACCTGCTGGTCATCCTCTCGGTGGCCTGCAACCGCCACCTGCAGACAGTCACCAACTATTTCATCGTGAACCTGGCCGTGGCCGACCTGCTGCTGAGCACCACGGTGCTGCCCTTCTCGGCCACCATGGAGGTTCTGGGCTTCTGGGCCTTCGGCCGGGCCTTCTGCGACGTGTGGGCTGCCGTGGACGTGCTGTGCTGCACTGCCTCCATCCTCAGCCTCTGCACCATTTCGGTGGACCGGTACGTGGGCGTGCGCCACTCACTCAAGTACCCCACCATCATGACGGAGCGCAAGGCGGCCGCCATCCTGGCGCTGCTCTGGGCTGTGGCCCTCGTGGTGTCCGTGGGGCCCCTGCTGGGCTGGAAGGAGCCAGTGCCCCCTGATGAGCGCTTTTGCAGCATCACCGAGGAGGTGGGCTACGCCGTCTTCTCCTCCGTGTGCTCCTTCTACCTGCCCATGGCCGTCATCATAGTCATGTACTGCCGCGTGTACGTGGTAGCCCGCAGCACCACGCGCAGTCTCGAGGCCGGCGTCAAGCGGGAGCGGGGCAAGGCCTCCGAGGTGGTGCTGCGCATCCACTGTCGTGGCGCCGCCTCGGGTACAGACGGCGCGCACCGAGGGCTGCGCAGCGCCAAGGGCCACACCTTCCGCAGCTCGCTGTCGGTGCGCCTGCTCAAGTTCTCCCGCGAGAAGAAGGCTGCCAAGACGCTGGCCATAGTCGTGGGAGTCTTCGTGCTCTGCTGGTTCCCCTTCTTCTTCGTCCTGCCACTTGGTAAGTGACCCCTCTCCCACCAGCCCTTCCTTCCTGAGCCTGTAGCTATGCCTTCCTGGCACCCAGGCTTGGCTGGCCTTCCCATGGAACCTGGTCCCTTAGACAGAAGTGTGGCTCGGCTTTGTTTGGGGACAAACAAGAGGCTCTCCGTGCTTGCAGAAATTGTTTCACAGGCTTCTAACTTTTCTGTCCTTACACTCCCCCTTCATTGTCATTACAATCCTGGGCTTGTTTTACACTCTGGACGCTGCTAAATATAAAAGGTCAATGGAAATCTGTGCAAGCTCATAGTATGTAACAGCAGTGTATGTGTTCACCTACATGTTAACACACACACACACACACACACACACACACACAGATATACATGTCAACCCCCAGAGGTGGGCACACAGGCAGAGTGGGCCTACATTCGTGCACGGGCAGCAAGCCCTGGCCATTCAACATGTGCGTCAGCAGGCACCAGAAGCCACCTGCTTTCTCCCAGCACTCATTCAGTTTGGGAGCTGGCCCCCTCCGGAGCCCCTCCCCAGCTGGGATCTGTGAGTGCCCTGGGCTCTAACTTCTGCAACCTCCTCTTGGAATTGGGGGAGGGGCTGTGTGGGGGTAAGAAGGAAAGGGAAGGGGGCAAACTATCAAATGGAAAGTTAATGTTGTTCGTCGTCTTTCTTAAATTTACTGAGTTTTTCAGCGCTTCTGAGAAACTTTCCTGTTTCTCCCACAAGGGTCCCTGCGGACCTGGGAAGTGGGCAGCTGTTCTGAGGGGCTTCCTCCCACACCTGAGGGTCCTCCTGGAAGCCTTGGGGCTGGGTCAGCACTGGGAGGAGAAGGGGAACAGCATTTCCGGGGACGAATTTACCCTGAGTCATTTCGCCCATGGCTGCAACCTCAGCAGGCCACGCAGGGACCTGCCCTGCCTTTCCCTGGCCTGCTCCTTCCACACTCTGCAGCTGAGTCAGGAAAGGGACAATGGCCTCCCTCCTGCTCCCCTGCTGGCTCTCTCCACACAGCGGCCAGAGTGATCTTTATACATTATAAATTAGAGTGTCACTCTCGATGAAAACCCCTCAATGCTTTCTCACTGCCCTGGGAACAAAATCTAAACTCTCCAGTATGGCCTATGAGAAGGTGACCTTCAAATGTATTATTGTCCAAACCAAAATGGGACACTAGGAATATTTATGCTTAGACCGCAGGCATGAACCCGGACAGTAGGGACAAACCCGGACATGTGGTCCCCTTCCGGTAAGGAGAGCCCGACGTGATGGGCTGCCTGCCCTCTGGCCTCATAGCTTGGCTGCCCTGCCTTTTGCTCACTGCCCCTCTGGCCCCTCTGACCCTCTTCTGGTTCCTTGCCCACATCCCTCATGCCCTTGCATTTGCTCTTCCCTCTGTCTGGCCTGCCTTGCCCAACCCCTCCTGGCTAACTCCCCATCCTTTAGGTCTCTGCATAATGTCCCCTCTTCAGAGAGGCCTTCCCAGATGCCTCAGTCTCAGGGTGTCTTTCTCTGCATTTTCTCCCTCGTGGCACAGGCTCTCTTCCTTTACTAGCTCCTTAGCTATAATCACATCTGGGTATTGCTTGGTTTGGTGTCTGACTTCCCCAACTGGCCCACAAGCTCTGCAAGGACAGGACTGTGCTGGTGGGGAAAGTCAGAAGCAGCACCCAGCACAGTGCCTGGCATGTGAAGAGCAATAGAGCACAGCAGCAAGGACCACAGGGTCTGGTACCAGATAGCCTGGCTTCGAACCCCAGCTCTGCTTCTTACTAGCTGGGTAACTTCCGGCAAATCCCAGAACCTCTCTATGCCTCTCTTTCCTCATCTATAAAATAAGGATGATGGTGATGGTTATAATGACGACCTACAGGGGTGTTAATAAGACTTTAGTGAGATATTATGTGTGACTGTAACATGGTGAGTGCCGTGTGAGCTGTTGCTTTGGTAGTGGATACTCAATATAAGATAAGAAATGAATAAATCACCGACTTGAAAGTCACTCAGCCAGAAGCTGTGGTAGGGATAGGAGAGGGATGGAGGGGGAAGGGAGAGGCAAATAGGCAGGAAGAGAAAGTCTGTGTGCCCCCCTTTAGAAACCTACCCACCCAGTATTTAGAACCACCCCCCCCCAAGCCATCACCCAGGCTTTCTTGCCCTGCCAACCAACCCCTGCTCCAGCCTTGCTCAGCTGCGCCCTGTCATCCCAGGTACCCTCATCCTCCCCCTGCCCCTTGGTTCACACCAGTCCCCTGTAGAAAATAATCAACCTGTGTGTAGACTGCCATCTCCCCTAATGGTTTTTTAACTTCTTTTCAAATTTCTAGTTACAGAATAATGCACATAAGACGAAAATAATATAGCAAGTGCCCATGTACCCATAATCACCCATATTGAATGGATGTTCACATTTTGCCATATTTGCCTCTGATCCCTGTTTCTCTCTTTTTTCAAATAGAACACAGCCACAGCTAAGTTCCCTTCTCCCGTCCTTTTTTGCTCCCTCCCTCCCCAATGGTAAATCTGGTATTTATCACTCCCACACATTTGTACTCTTCCCACAAATATCTGTATCCATAATAATAGAGAATATTGTTTTGTGTGCCTTTAGGATTTATGTAATCGCAGCGTGCCTGGTGCATCAATCTTCAGTTTGCCTTTTTCACCCAACGTGGTGTCGTTGAGATTTATCCATGTCCACGCTGGCTCATTTCAGCAGCAGCGTGGTGCTCTGCTTGAGAGTGTGCCATGGTGTGTTGATGCAGTCTCCTGCTGAGTGCTCCGTGCTTCCAATTTCTCACTGATACAATCAACATGGAAAACGGCTACTGTTTTCTGAGGTCTAGATCACGTGTCCCCCGCTTCCAGGAATTCATCCCCAAATTTCCATGGCCTTTGCCCCTGGCTGGTACACACTGCTCTTTCTTAATCCTTCCATCTCTGCTGCTCCTCACATCTGGCGTGGTAACCCTGGGAGGGGGGTCTCCCTGTCTCCACCTTCCTACTGGTCTGTGGTGTGCCCAGCCTCCCAGGGCACCTCACTGAGCCCCAGAGCAGAGCCCACGGCCGCTGGTGGAGCTGAATTGAGTGGAATCTGGCAATAGCAAACAAACAGGACAGAGGCCAAGCAGGGACACAGAATATTCCAATCGCCACGAAGTGGCTCTGAGGGTAGATCAACAGAGAGATCAGGAGGATGGAGCCAGAGGTGGAGAAAGGGTGGCCTGAGGGTTATGCAGGAGGGCCAGGAGGCCAGGAGGTCCTGACACTCCCCAGCACTGGTCCCGGCCTGGAGGAGGAAGGCACCACTGAAGGAACAGAATATTCTGAGCAGCAACTTGTGGGGCGGGGGAGGAATAGAATGTGGCATCCAGGGGGTTGGCACATCTTGATAGGAGGTGCCAGTATGTGGTGGGGGGTGGGAACTTAGATAAGAGGGTCAAGAATGGGAGTGGTTGCAGAAGCAGAAAGAGGATGGAGAGGCAAAGAAAAAAGAGGGTCTGGGGACAGAGCCTGGGGAGCCCCCACTTTGAAGAAATCAGGAGGAGGCAGAGAAGGGGGAAGCCAGGAGGACTGACACTTTTCAGCTCCCCCAAGCCCTGGTCCCACACCAGACGTAAGGAGCAGCAGGGATGAAGAGGTTGAAAAAGCAGTCGGTGCCAGAAAGGGCCATAAGCCATGGCAACAAAGGCACCCAGTAGAGCCACAGCTAGGGGTTGTCAAGCAGACCCAGGATGCTCTGTACCCACACCTCCGGACACAAAGCCAAGTGGAAGCTGCAGCTACAGCACAGCAGTGACATAGCCAGGGAGTGGCCCTGACAGCCCAGAGGGCACTGAGAGCCTTAAGAAGGGAACCCAGGGTCCCAGAGGAACCTTGGCACAGGGAGCGAGTGACTGCCATTTATAAACTGAAATGCTGTGGGTCAAGCCGGAGCAGGAGTAGAGAGAGATACAGATGGGGTGTCCTGAACCATAGGGACTCTGCGGGCCCAGGTCAAGAGCCAGGAGAGATTGGGACACAGACACCAGGCACCTAAAATCCTGAGTGGCCTGAAGAGGGGCTAGAGGTCACCCCCCACACCTCCAGCTGCCCCCTTTCCCAGTGAGGAGCAACTGCAGGACATGTGCCAGCACATAGAGAGTCAGCTCAATGAACTTGAGACATCACCTGTCGGACCCTGTGATTTAGGGCAGCGAGTTCAGGGAAGGCAGCACCTGCCTTTCCAGGACACGTGGGGAGCTGTGTAAGGAATGAGGAATACCACTCACCCCCATGAGAGGGCACTCACCTGCCTGGTGGTTCATACAGATGCCCAGCTGTGCTGTCTGCCCCGTGAAAAATGACCACACATCCAGGTTTGGCCAAGACAGCCCTGGTTATACCTGTTGGCCTGCATGATTACTAATAGTGCCCCTTTCACTCTCAGAGATGTTCCAGTCTGGACCATAGAGTATGTGGTCTCCAGTCCTTGGAGGAGGGGCTCTTGGCAGCCTGCCAATGAGAGATATGTGCCTCCTGCCCTCACCAGCAAGCTGGTGCAGCACTAGGTGCCTGAGAAAATCATAAGACATTATGTAAAGGCTCCTTCTTACAAGGTTATTTAGCCAGATGTCTAGAAGAGCCCAGACTTGTAGCATGCATATGGGGAGGGGCATCAGTTAGGACCTGCTACCTGCAGACTTCCATGGAGGACCCCCGAAAAAGGGGGGCATGACAAGGGTGGGCCAGCTAGAAATACACCTGAAAGCCTCTGCCCTGGACCCTTCACCCACAGCCTTTGAAATGCCAGTCACCTTCCCTGTAGGCAACAGGGGGACAGAGGGACTGGAGGAGCACTGTCCCGGGCAGGCAAGCACCCATCTGCAGAGAGCGCCCTTCCTCCCCCAGGCGTCTCCAGAGGCCCCATCTCTCCTGATGTTCTCATGGCAGTAGCATCCCACTGAGTCTGGCTTCGGCCTGCCAGCCACACCCAGAGGTGGACCTGTCCATTGAGACCTAGAC